CAACCCTAACTACTATTCACATACTCTTGCTTAAAGGAACACTAGAGGGTAATGAACACAATCATGTATTTCTGACCTTATTATGTTAAAACCACAATTTAGCCCCCCTTGTCCCCTCTTGCCCCCTAAATATAGTAAACTCTTACTTGTATTCAAGTATGCAGCTGCTGGCTCTGTCCCTGTCTGCCTCTGAACTGACTCTGTCTGCTGACATCATCGGAAGTGGTGGTCTGCGCAAATTACAATGCTTCCCCGTAGGATTGGCTGAGGCTGTCAACTAGGCAGATCAGGGGCAGAGCCAGCACAAGTCAAACATAGCCCTGGCCAATCAGCATCTCCTCATGAAGATAAACTGATTCAATGCATCTCTATGAGGAAAGTTCAGTGTCCACATGCAGAAGGTGGAGACACTGAATGGCGGTGCTGCATACTAGGCAGTACTGTACTTCCCCAGGAGGCACCTCTTGCAGCCATCTAAGGAGTGGCCATCAGAGTCATTTTCTATGAAAAGACAGTGTTTACTGCAAAAAGACTGGAGGGAAGATTCTACTTACCAGAACAAATACAATAAGCTGTAGTTGTTCTGGTGACTATAGTGTCCGATGAGAACAAAACCTGTGTGGACTGGCTGACAATAAAATAAGTTTAGATAATGCAGACTTTGGTCTCTCTAACACTGTGGCATGTCCCGTTTCTTCTACACTCACTACATACACCTTTTTTCTGTCTCAGACTATATACTAGGAACTTCTGCCTGCTAGTAAGATGATAAGGAGACAAGTAGACATGTGAGTGCTAGGGGACAGTCCTTAGAAAGCGTGGAGTAGGCGCATCATTTGATGCATTTATGCCAAGCTCAGGGTGCTGCCTGCATAGTATGCCCTTAGTTGGACAGCCTGCATGATTGGCAGGCAGTCTGGCATGCATTCATGCCAGGCTGGCCTTCCAATTCTTTGGACAAACAATGACCCCTTTTTGGGCATGTTCACCCATTTTGGCAGGTCGGGTCATGTGATTCGCGCCAGCGGCACACCCTTTTACCCCGCACATTGACTTCCTGCTTCACTGGACACTGCTGTTAGGGGTTATGGATTTACTTGAAAGATGAAGTATAAATTAGAGAGAGATTAGCAGAGAGTATGTGTTTTTGTATAGCTGCATCCTTTGAGTTTCCCTCCAACACCATCTCCATCAGATACATGATGCTTGGGAGGTATGATTGTTTTAGTGTTTTTGGTCGATAAGATTCTGTAAATAGGCCCATCATAATTGTCAGCACTGGGCTCTTAATCTGGCCCTGGCTAATGGGGGTGGGATAATCACAGAGATCTGATAAAGATTGATGCTCTGTCTGAGGCAGTGGTTTGCAAATGTGTAATATCCAATTGTACACTTATTACAGGCAGATTTCTTCTTAAACCCCCTGCTATGGGTTACTCGAACCTCCTGGCATGAATGAAATATTACTTTTATGTCTGTACCATGGTCCTCTGTATGCCCCATCACTGAATGATCGAATTCTATTTTTCATGGGCCAATAGAATTGGGAGTAAAGTATTAATTTAATAACCCTTAATGATATAGTACCCAATGCAGTTTTGTATCTAGAAACCCAATATTGTAAATGTCTCATATATTTGCCTGGATATTGGACTTCCCTTGTTCACTATATGTTTTGTTTATATAGGAACTCTTCCTCTGTGACAGTCCTGGCAAAGCAGTGTTTTATGATATGACAGAGACACTGGTAAGATTCCTTTCTCACATTCTAAGCAAGAATAATGTCAAACTAGAAAAGTTACAATTTCAGGGGAAATTGTGTGAAGTGTTCTTGCCTCCACCTGTAGTCTACAACTGGAGTGGGCGGAGTAACTGTTATCATTTGTATAGCACATTTAATTGCAACGTTGTTGCACAGTTACATTAAACCATACATTTATAAAAACATTAGCAGGTCTTCAAAAGGCCCTGTCTATGACATCACTTGCTGCTGCAGCTTGACACAGGTCAGAGTATTTTGGTGGTTGCCATCTTCAAACGGTCGTATCTTAAAAACTATAACTCCTACAGCGAAGAGCTTTATATTGTGAGAATCACAAGACCCAGACCTACATTTTGATGCATAGTATGTCTCTGAAGTATTAAAATGAAGGCACAGTCGCAGTTTAGAAATTGCACTTCAAATTTGAGCTTTGCAGAGTGAAGTTTCAATGAATGTCAATGGACGGCGTTAGTTGCAAACAAATGATTATATTGTGAAAACTATCAGGACTATGGCTTAGCCGTTGACATGTTTAGTGGCAGCAGGGATAGCTGAACGTTTTGATATAAGATTTGTGTAGGTGGGCCTGAAAATAAGGGAGTGGTGGCAGTTTAGAAATCATGTCCTGATTTTTCAGCTTTTACCAGCTCCACTCTAGCTTTGCCATTCATTCCTATGGGACAAATTTCGCCACAAGAACGACGATATTCCGTGAACCATTGACGTTCCTAAAGTAATAACAATCGATGTCGGGGAACAATATACGCGTTTTGGTAATTTTGTCTAGCAATTAATAAAAACTGTGGGAGGGATTAAGTTGGCAAATTTTGCTATAATAATAATAATAATAATAACTAGAAAGTTACAATTCTGGGGAAATTAATTGTGAAGTCGATATTGCCTCCACCAGTAGTCTAGCATTTAATTGCAACGTTGTTGCACAGTTACATTAAACCATACATTTATAAAAGCATTAGCAGGTGTTCAAAGGCCCTGTCTATGACATCACTTGCTGCTGCAGCTTGAAACAGGTCAGAGTATTTTGGCGGTTGCCATCTTCAAACGGTCGTATCTTAAAAACTATAACTCCTACAGTGAAGAGCTTTATATTGTGAGAATCACAAGACCCAGACCTACATTTTGATGCATAGTATGTCTCTGAAGTATTAAAATTGAAGGCACAGTCGCAGTTTAGAAATTGCACTTGAAATTTGAGCTTTGCAGAGTGAAGTTTCAATGAAAGTCAATGGACGGCGTTAGTTGCAAACAAATGGTCATATTGTGAAAACTATCAGGACTATGGCTTAGCTGTTGACATGTTTAGTGGCAGCAGGGATAGCTGA